ATATCATGATTTTGCCCTGCATTTTGGTGATCAGACAAAAACATATACCTAGTTTTCTCACTGTTTACTTCTAGACCAACCTCTTTACTTGTGTCAATTAAAGTTTGTGTCTTTTTCTTTATGGTATCTTCTTTATCACCCAGTAGATTCACATCATCGGCATAGAGCAACAGCTGATTTGTCCCGTTTTATTTCAGTCCCACCTGGTTTTCCTGGACCTTCCTAATGGCATATTCTAAAACAAAGTAGAAAAGGAGTTGCGATAAAGCATCTCCTCATTTTAGACAATTCTGGATATGAAATTTATCAGACAAATGTTTACCTACACAGACTTTACTTTANTCTTTATCACCCAGTAGATTCACATCATCGGCATAGAGCAACAGCTGATTTGTCCCGTTTTATTTCAGTCCCACCTGGTTTTCCTGGACCTTCCTAATGGCATATTCTAAAACAAAGTAGAAAAGGAGTTGCGATAAAGCATCTCCTCATTTTAGACAATTCTGGATATGAAATTTATCAGACAAATGTTTACCTACACAGACTTTACTTTATGTTTCGTTTAAACACATTTTAATCAACCTAACTAGATTCATGGATATCCCAAACTCTATCAGAATATTGTACAGTACTTCCCTCCTAACTGAATCATAGGCTTTCTTGAAGTCTATGAATAGCTGATATACTGTCTCATCGTACTCCGTTTGTTTTCCAATATCTGACGAATGCAACGATCTGATCTGTTGTTGATCAGGTATGTCAAAACCCACACTGATGATCCCCAATAATTTCATCTACATATGGACTTAACCTTGAGAGAAGAATATTGGATAAAATATTGTATGAAGTTGCTTGCAGTGATATCCCCCGATAATTACTGCAGTCAGTTTTGTCACCCTTCTTGTGAACTGGTACAATAATAGACTCCTTCCACTGGTCAGGCAATTTTTCCTTATTCCAAATAGAAGTAAGTAGATTGTGGATCTTAGAACGAGACTATAAAAGGTACACAAAAAATGGCCTAGATTATGCCTGTCCAGCCTTCACATCTTACACGAGTTGCCTTCCTATCCAACAGATGGATTTGCTCTCTTTAGGCTTATGTTCTATATCTGTACAATCTTTTGACACTAAATTAGATTTAACAGGTTTTGACACCTTTAGACTTACCTTATTTACAACTTAGTCTTATCGAATATATCCATGAGGTTAATCAGTTGCTCTACTTATAATATGTTTACATATATTTTGGAATGCCATTTATGAATTTAATTAATCCCTTGACTTCCTACAAGTTTTGCATTTTTAACATTTCAGCCAACAAGCATAAAGTTTTTATAATGATTATGATCTCAGCATAATGTGAATACTTTGTGGCATATGTGTAATTTGGAAATAAGGTAACACAGATACCCTTGATTTCTGAATAATTGGTTTACAGATTTTCACAATTACAAATAATGGTTATTTGTACCCATTTCTCGTTTAACAAACTTTATTTTTGCCACAACGAAAGATGTACGTTTTGCAGTTTGGTGACTTTTGCCCTATAAAGTAATGCAAATTTCATTTTCAGTTTATGAATTTTTGCCTTACAAACAGTTTTCAAGGAATGAGTTATCCTTTTAAATCGAGGGATACCCACATTCTGTTGTTATAAGTTCTCATGCTGGTAACTGTGAAGATCACTGTCTTCTGGGATGTAATGTTGAGTAGTCTGCTGTAGCAGTGTGCTTGGGACCATGGTCTAGTCTTAACCAATAGGAGTAAGGAGAATGGTAATAAAATATGTGGCCTATATAAAGCTCATTCCCTTTGGTAGAGAGACTGGAGAAATGGTTCTGAGTAAGCCAAAGGGAGGTAGAAGGAAGTTATGGTAGAGAGAGTAATGAAACAGTGGCCTATGAAGGGCCTATTCAAGGGCAGAGTGGATGATAAAAAAACTGAAACAGGAGATATATTTTTATTCAGTTTTCCCTTTCCCCCTCATTTTCCTTTATTTCACTAGACATACTCCTTATCACATTTTTATTTTCATCATTCATATCACAACCACACGCTGCAGATCAGAGGAGTAAAATATGAACAATAAACAAAGCCATTTATCTTAAGGAATGTGTTGTGTATAGGCTGCCACTGCCTCATGCACATCTAGCTGGACAATGGACTGTCATGCATTCACTGGAGCCACTTCAGCTTGCTGTTGAAGAAAGATTCTTGAAAATGAAGGCTCCCAAGATCCTTAGGCAGTACCACCATCCTCTGGATAGGGTTGAAGCCAGGGCTGCTGTTTTCAGTGAGATGCAGTCTTATTGGTCCATACCAATTAAAGAAACTGCCATTGTTGCGGGACTTACAGTTAGTAAAGGTAGGTACCATAATTTCTTGGATTGTAATAACAATAATGAGAGGTGTTTCAGTGTTCCAGCGGGTCTTAGTTGCATAGGAAGTAGAGAGGAATTAATACTAGCCAAGACTCATAGACACAGTGGCAGGTGAAAGAGCATGAGCAAGATCCATTGGCCTTTATCAGGTTCCAAGGACATGGAGTACGAGTATACCAGTAGAAGAAGGGTTCAAGCTGGGAAAGGTTTGCATAGTGTAACAATTCTGATGTGTTCGCTATGTTCTGTGTATTTATTTCAAAAGAAACAAAGTTTAAATTTTGATTAAGTAATGTTTATAGCAGCATGTAAGATTTGAATCTTTAACAACAAATAAATGTACAAAAATCTTGGATGATCAGCCATGTCAGCCAATGTTTAAGACATCTTCATCTCCAGCATCGTTTGGTTCATCATCTGAGAACGAATAAGAATGAACCAACAAATCCTATTACCAGCAGAAACAATAAATTCAATTGAATTACTGCAGAATCTCCCCCAGCAGAACACACTACTGTCATCACACACAAATAACCACTGTGTCCTATCTATTTTGGCAGGTAAGTGTCGTGGATTTAAGCTCAACATATAATGCTAGCACACCTTTTTTAAAAATGAAAACATGAACAAACAAACCTCCACTAATCATAGGGCAATTAATTTCATTCCACAAAAATGCAGTATCAATTTTTATTATGGAGATGGAGGAGATCTCTGAAATGATGGTTTTTAACTGAACATTTACATGGCTGATAACCCAAGAAGATTTTAGCATGTAGCAGCACATTAAATTATGTTGTAATTAAATATGTATTATTCATATGGGTCTATAAAAGGAGCTGGGATAGCATAGTTGGTATAGTGACTAGCTATGGGCTGAACAATGGAGAGGTTGACCAGACTGCCTCTGGGGTCCACCCAGCCTCCTATCCAAAGGGTACCATGGACTCTTTCACCTGTGGGTAAAGTGGCTGGGGCATGAAGCTGACCACTCACCTCCAGCTAGTGCTGAGGTCAAGAAATTGTGGATCTATATATGCACTCCCCCATATGCCTTCATGGCAAAGTGATTAATTATTTAAGCACAGGGATAACTTTGCCTTTTATCTTTTACATATGGTTCTTTAAATTCAGAAGGGAGGAAGTTTCATTTAATTAATATTGAGAAAATGCTTTAGTTATCTTTGTATATGCTTTGAAGACCATTGTTGATTCTTGTTGGATACACCAGATAGGAAATGTATGCATAGCTTAACAGTTCTGGGGAATTTACTATCTTTTGATTATCTTGGAATTTATAAGACTTACAGAAAAATTCTGTTGGACCTAAAGTATCTGCTTCATAGTTTTCTTCATCTTTTGTTGAAAAATTGTAATGTGGATGGCCAGAGTGTTGCTAGACAATGGACCAGTAAACACCCCACAACTGAATAACACTCGGCAAAAATAGAAGAATCTCCATCTCTAGGCAACTACCTGTAATCTCTAGGCAACTACCTGTAAGCAACCTTCAGTTGAGTGCCTTACAACAATAGGAGTCAAGAATGAAAGATGTCAGTGTGGAGCTTATATAACTGAGTATCTGTTATATCTTAGACTAGAGTGAGGGACTAGTGCAGAGTGCTTATAAGAGAAGTGAATGTGGTGACAGTTCTCAGCCCTCGATAGAAGATAGCCATAGGAAATTTGTCATAGAAGAAGAATAAGAAGTCGGCCTTTGAAGGCTTGATGTGTGATTAGAAGATCTTTTAATTCCATTACCAGGAAACGAATAATGAAAGCTGAGGATCCTAGTATGTGTGTAATGATGAACTGTAAATTGTGGAAATCAAGAGCCAGCCAGACTCACATAGAAGAGATAATCAGAACCAGTCAAGAGAAGGAGGAGGCCACAATGCAATCCATGTGGTCAGAGTGGGAGAAGACATGAGCCAAAAACATCATGACGTGCGTTAACCACAAGACACAGAGTCTCCAGAAAGCCTGCCACGAAGGGACAGAGGCAGATACAGAGAAGATTGAGCCTGATCCCAGTCCACAGGGGAGCATCAAGAGATCCCCAAGGAGGAAGCCACAGTGATGCTGGCTGAGAGACTGAGGAAGAGGTGTAGGGACTGGAATCTGGCTAGGGGGCTCCACCAGAAGCCAAAAGGAAGGATCCAGGCAAGTTGTGAATCCCAGAAGAAATTGACCATCTCCGGCAGGAAGATGACTCGCTGTGCAAGAGTGGCATGGTGCAGGAAAAATGTCAGGAAAGATCAGACCAGGAAGCGGGTGGAATGAGGCACCTCAAAAGGGCAAAAGGACTGGAAGAGACTATAGAGAGGTGCAGAATGCAAAATTGGAGTAAAAACCTGAGCACAAGACTGCAGCTATGATGCAGGAGAGAATTCAACAAGACCCTCAAGAAGATCCTAGGGCTGGAGATTGGGAAACGAGCAGTTGCGATTTCCACGAGGTTGCATACAGTCAAGGATTGGGCATTGTGCAATGGTCACTCTCCTCCAAAGTGGTTGAAGAGCCACTTGCATGTTTAACATAAGAAGAGTCACAAATGTGGGAGCTATGCCTGCCATTCAAAGATTGAGAGATAGGGGGAAGGAGAAGAAAAAAATGTCGGATGATGGTGAGGACCTGAACTGGCTGGAATCCAGTCAGGCAGCTTTTCAAGACAAGCACCCTTAAGGGGAGAGCAGATATAGCAGTTGGAGAGTGATCACTATGGAGGAATCAAGCAATAGGAAAGTGACATCATGAGAAGAAATATCAGAAGGAAGGGCTGGTGATGCACCAATAGGCTATTCAGGATGAACAGCATTAAGGAAGGATCAGTGTCATGTGGGTGGCCAGACCATTGCTAGGCAGTGGACCAGTAAACACCCTGCACCCGAATACATGTAAGGCAACAATAGAAGAATCTCCATTTCTCGGCAACGACCTGTAAACAACTTTCAATTGGGTGCACTACAACAATAGGAGTCAAGAATGAAAGATGTCAGTGTGGAACTTACGAGTATATAACTAGTATGTGTTATAGCTTAAACTAGACTGAGAGACTAGTGCAGAGTTCAGTGTGCAGAGTGCTTATAAGAGAAGGGAGTGAAATGACAGTTCTGAGTTCTCTGTAGAATATTATATTTAAGCATCCTGTTACACTCACACAATATATGAGACAAACTCCGTCTTAAGTATTAAAGATAGACAGCGGCGCACGCACAGAGAGCCTACACAGAACAATACCTGAACAGCGATAAAACAAGAAGTGGCCGTTGCAGCACTATAGACATAGGGCGAGTACCCCGAGAAATTTTAATTTTTAAAATTTGGAAAAGAACGGAAAATTTAAAGACATTTTAATTTGAAATTGAAGTTTTAAAAAGTGTCAATTTTGGAAATCAAGTTGACGTGTGTAGGTTAGCAAAGATTTTGTACATACATAGAATTGGAAAGACTGGTGTTTTAAATTTTGAACTATGGGCAGTGTAGCAGCTGCATAAGAATATACACCTGATGATGGCCATTTAAGGCCGAAACATGTAGTGTGGAGGAAGGAAAGATGGAAGAACTACAATTAAATTGTTGCACTTAAGACGGAGTTTGTCTCATATATTCTCTATAGAAGATAGCCATAGAAAGTTTGTCATGAAGGAATAATAATAAGTCGGCCTGTGAAGACTTGGTATGTGATCAGAAGATTTAGTCACAGTCAGACTGTTTTAATTCCGTAACAAGGAGATGAGTAGTGAAGGCTGAGGTTCCTAGTGCATCCGTAACAGTGAACTGTAAATTGTGGAAATCAACAATAGTGCTGTATTTAAATGTCATTAAGAGAACTCGTAACTGAGGTGCTAAAAAAGCTAATCATCTGAACTATAACCCATCATTTTCATCATGCGTACCACCCTACATGTGACAGTATTTTTCACTCTTAGTAAAATATTTAGTGTGTTACAATTTAGGTTTACACAAAAATACATAGGTCTATATACAATTTCTCTGTTATTCTAGTCAAATATTAGAAAAATTAAAATGAATCAACATATTTTAGTAAAACTCCACAATATAAAATTTTGTGCAAGTCCATTGAGCATTTCTCAATGGATGATGGATCACATGTTTTCAGTTTGTTTTTTTGTGTAGATTTGAGTCCCAAATTGTTCCTATTTAATGTATGTGCTCATGACTGTTAAAGGGGAAGCTGTAACCACTACACCCCTATGTAAATCATCCTTTATACACTCTGTTACTCTGCCAGAATCAGCATCTGACTCTTAGTATGAATTTTATAGTAAAACATATATGTATATACATTCTTGTTGGTGTAATGGTTTGTAATAATGTTCTAAATAAGAGGTCATTGAATGATTTCAGTAAGTTCAGTAAAACTTTCTTATTATGTGGCTGTTGGAAGATAGATTGAAGACCCACAGTATTTCAGGAAATTTCACAAGAAATCATTTTTTTAATGTGAAAGTTTTTCAGAATTACTGGGTTTTGCACTTTGTCCATCATCCGGTATTCTAAGAACTAGAGAACACAACGTGTCAGAAACTGGGCCTGCTTTCATCCTCAGGTGAGGGGAAATTCACTCACTCTGTTGGGTCCCCTAGAGAGAGCTAACCTCAATCACTGGACAACCCATGTCAGTATAACTGCATTTGTATAAATACCTGATATTAGGTTATGTTGAAGAGAGATAACAGGAAAATATGCAATAAAGTTTGTGATAAAATATAAATAGACCTGAAACTGAGATAGAAAAGGAGGTGAAAATATTATACAATAAACCAAATCTATGAAAACCAATGCATGGGATTAAATGGAGAATTTGTGAAACCATTTTGTGCCTTCTGCTAGGGTCATCTGTAAAGTAAAAACTGAACACTTGAGACTAAAATCTTATAGAAATCCATGAAGAATCTGTCACATCTTCAGATCTTCCCTCTGGGTTGGTAAACTTCATTGCTGACAAGGGGGACCCACATGGAAGAAATATCCAAAGTGGGTAGGGTGATCAGATTGAAAGAGCATGGCATATGGGCCAGTTCCTTTTATTTCCTATACCTGCTGTTATTTTCAGTTTCCAAAATCCTAGCTTCATCCCAGCCTACCCTGTGGCCTTTTTCATAGGCACGTTGGGCAAATTTTGGTTTTTCTATGAGACCCTCTTTGAAATTGTGTGTGTGTTCACAGAACCACACGGCTGTAAGTCTTCCTGTTTCTCCAATATAGATACTGTCACATTCACAGGGAATGCTATAGATACACTGTGCCATCTATTGCAGATCTGTTTCTGGCCTGGTTTTCCTGAGTGAACTCATAAGAGTATGTTGAGTTTTGAAGATTTTCCTAATGTTATATTGATTCCCTACACATTTGAACTTCTCTGAAACGCCCTTCATATATGAGATATACACAGAGACCTCTTTATTGAGATGATTGCTACCTTTGGAATTCATAACTGAGTTAATGAAACCTTGGGGGTAATCATTGAGCTGAAGTTTTTGTTTATAGCAAATTTAATATTAAATTACATTAAAAATGAGATTGTATTTAAGTTAAATGCATGCCTTATTTAATTGGTGCTTTTAAAATGGTCAGATTTCTTTTTTGGCTTAGCTGATTTCATTTCTGTGTCATATATCTCATAATGTTTTCTAAATATAAGAGATGGAGATGATCACAGTCACTCCATCTTCCCATCCAATTCATTACATCAATGATGCTGTTCAGTACTTTGCTAATTTTAGGGGTCTCAAGCTTACATATTTCTTCATTCACACTGTCATCTTCCAATATTTCCAACATGCCACACTAATTCCAACATTGGAGGGCTTTTCCATAGCCCATATAGAGAATCATCGGTGCCTCACTGGCAAATCACCAGTCACATGCAAGGTCATATTACCTACTCAGAGTGACTGACTAGATGTAGTCATTTAGATGATGCTGGTTACACAGAAAAATATCACAGAGATATTTGAAACAAAATTGTTTGCAAGGAAAGTAAATTGAATCTTGTTGGGAGATGTAACTAGACCTGCAGTACATCTGAATCTGCAGTATAATGAGGCGCATTATAATGAAGTTTTACCGTATGAGATTTGAGGTTTTTCACAACTGAGACTATAGGTAATACTTTCTTCTGGGGTGTAGTGCTGTTTACTCTGGTAGACTCCCCCCCCCCTCTGCCATCAGTCGGTGTTAGTGTTTTGCCTGTTCTCCCTTCCACAGCATAATCGAAATAGGCCATTCTAGAGCTACTGTTTTCCTTACTCAGTCTCTCCTGACTTCTGTCTTCTCCAATTCTCCCCCTTCATTACCATCTGCCCCTGTTAATGTTCTGTATGTATTTCCTCTATCACTGAGTAATTCGCTCAGAGCGATTTTTTGCCTAGACCCTCTTCTCTTGAAAATTAAATTTTAGGGGCCTCAGATTTTTTTGCCATTTTCCTTTCTCCTATTGGTTCACTCTGATCCCTGGCCTCAGCCCCAGTCTTTGCTCTTTTCATATCTATGCCACATTGTCCACACACTGTTTACTGTTCTGCTCTGAAGATGGAAGCAGCATGTTTGTAAACATTTACCCAACTACACAGCATCACATCCCAGAAGGCAGTGTTCTTTATTTCAATAAATTTTCCAAATGGTTATAGGTACAGAGCTGCAGGAAGACTGGGTTCATGTTCTGACTTCGAACCCACTGACTCTCTTTACAATGAGGCTGTCAGGTGGAATTATCGAGGAGTTGTCGCTCCAAGGTTTAATTACTCCAGTGCGAGGTGCTCGACCCCTCTTTACACTCTCGCCATTAGATAATGGTGAACGACTGCTAATACATGAGGAAACAGTATGTAAAATATATGTATTTATAAATGATGTATGCTTCTTTTGCATTTCAGTTTTTTTTTATTTACAGTTAATATATATAACATTCATATTGCACACCTTCAGCCAATAATGTTTCTTTGTTTCGTTCTTATTTATTTATGGTTTATTTAATGATGTTGTCAGTATCTTATGCTGTATAGTGTCAAACAGTTGGATGATTACTGAATTGGAAAGGATATGGAAGGAAACTTTTGTGACTTAATTTGAGGCACTAGCCTGGCATTTGCTTCTAGAGACATAGAAAACTGACAAAGAACATAACAATCATTGATATCCCAGGTGAGATTCAAACTGGTCATCTTCTGAGTATGGGTCAGAAGAATTATTGCTTAAACCATCTATTGCTTTTATTTTGTTATGTGACATTGCAAAATACAGTGAACCCCTGTGTATTGGTTCTCAGCTCAAAAATATTTCAAATTTCCAGCTGTTTTCAGAGGGTATGTTGAATATTACTTCAGGAATATAATACTTCAAAATATATTAATTAGACATTTTAATTTTTATGGTGTTGTAGATCTGATCTCCCTGATGTACTCTGAATATTATACAAATGAGTTATTAAAAATTTAATCTGTTCCCCTCAAGTCCAACAGCCTTGTAATGGTAGACTTGACTGCTAGAAGGGCGAGCCATATACCACTGCTGTCCACTTTCAAGTCAACCAGGGATAGTTTTGTCCGGACTCTTGGAGCTGAAATTGGCAACTGGCACATAATGACAGCTTTGCTAGGTCAGACAAACTGTGTGGTAAGCTTTTAAGCTTTGTTTAACTCATGTTTCATTAACAGCCAGGCAGTATGTGTGTGTGTGTGTGTGTGTATGTGTGTACATGCACATGCTTGCATAGTGTCCCGAGATGAAGTTCATGAGACAAGCTACAAAATACATGTGTGGAAACACTATAAAAGAATGTGTGACACCTTGGATGATCCAAAGACCAAATCTGTATTGAAAAAAAATTTTGACCCCAAAAAGAAATGGAACTCCCATGTTGACAGAATTCTGAGGGAGAGACTACCCAAATTAAGTATGAAATGCAAAGTAACTTGACCCAAGGAACCAAGGATCAGCCTTGGCTAAAACATTAGACAACTGAGGATGGAAGTGGTCAACAAACAGTAGAACCCATGTCAGACTGATAGTGATATATACAGTTTCTTTATTATACGAATTAAAACTTTTGATCATAACTGATCATCTTTTTCCTCCTTTATTGATTGACTTAATTAAGGTCTAGAACTCTGAGCCTCTTTTGTACTCAGTGATGTAATTCTGTTCATATTCAGATCACAGGCTTCTGGTATGTGACACTTTGTAGACAACTGTATATTATATATATATATTAATATTCACTGCTATATTCACATGTAAATCCACTGTATGTTTTACCTGACTTCTGAAAGAGCATAGCAGACTCTTACTGATAAGATATTTATCATCATCATCATCATCATCA